CCTTTCTTGTATAAGAACACAAGTCATTGGATATACAGCCCACAGTAAATCCAGGATGATATCTCCTTAGGATACATAATTACATCTATGAAGAACCTACTTCCAAATAAAGTCACATTAACAGGTAGTATGGGTTTGGAATTGGACATATCTTTTGGGGGCCACTATTCAATTAACTACAGGGGGCTAAGTCCATTGATATGTGTTTACAACAGGTTAGGAGTTCTAGCAAAACTATCATCAGTTTATTATTTGATCTGATGTTAAGCCATACAGATTTATAGTCAGGAAAAAAAATACCTGTAGGTTATGTCTCAGATTGCTCTATGAGCTCCTTGGGATGTAGGGGATTTAGAAGAATAACTCCAGGCTGGTGGAAGGAGACAAAATGAGCCTAGAGCAGAATCTGTTCGCAAAGTAATAGAGACACAAATGAATGAAGAAAGCAGAACAAAATAAGCAGAAGGGAAACTTCAAGATTCACATGGGAAATAAGTGAAAGGAAAGAAAGGAAACTAAAGTGCTACTGACAATCATGATGAAATAAGGAATAAAGTCTTGAAAATATAAAATGAAAAATGAGGAAAGTTAAAATCAAGGGAGTACTAAACCAAGGCTACACCAATAAAATAAAAATTTATGGACTTGAATATGAGACCTTAAGTTGCTTCAGGAAATATTTCTTCTTCCAGTTGTAGCTGGTGGAATCTCTAATATACCTAGTGCCTAGATCAAAGACACACTTCCACCAATTATTGGCCTTGAAATGACTTCTTGGACTTCCTCATCAGCATGCACATGGCCAAAATAGTTCCCAAACACATATCTTCTGGCATAGTTCAAATTCTTTGGAAATTCTAATAGGCTAAGCTCAATTATTTAAGTGGACCACACAAGTCATAGATTACTGGCATCTAGTTTATTGGGTTGACCACTGATCCCTGGCCCATTCACCACAGGTCAGGGGAAGTCAGACTGAGGGGTCTCATGGTTTGTGGATCTGTCCCTTCCAGGGTCATGGCTGGAATAAAATTGTACATATATTAAACAGATAAGCAGAGGGGTGCAATGGAGCAGTGTCCATGCTATATTGTAGGAATGATTGGGAAAGTGAGCATAGAGGGACTTACTCTTAAAATCTGAGTAGTGTTCAATAGTGAAAAGCAGAGGGAGGTTGCTGAGGGATGATGAAAGGGCAATCAAGAATTCTGAATGGAAGAGGCACACAGAGCCCATTAAGGACTTCAAGTAAGACAGCTGGACCTGGGATGAGCATTCTAGTGATTTTATCAAAACCTTGTGTTATTCTCATATAAGAAGCCAACTGGAAACAAGGAAAAGACTTGAATTATATTTAATCATCTTGTCTAAGGGATGGAGGGATATTTTTCAATCTCAGTTCTTTAACTGGAAAGTTGGCACTATGCACAAAGTTGTTAAATTAACAAGTATGCCAGCACTTTAAATTATTAATTGGTATGGTCCATTTTAATTAAAATCATCCTAGCTAATAACTCATTTCACTGTGTGCAACACCAGTTGAATAAGCTGGAGGACATGATGAGGGTGTGAATTGTTTTTCCTTGCACACATAGTGATTCTGGAGAAACATATACACTTAACCTTCTAGTCCTGCCTCTGTGCTTATGAAATGAGCCTGATTTTGGAATAAGTCGATATGGTAGAAAGAGTATGGACTTTGAAATGCATACATGTGGCTCTGCTGTGTGACTATGGAAAAATATTTAACTTCTCTGATCCTCAGATTTTCCCATCTAAAAATGGGAATAATAATAATATTCACTATTTGTTGAGATTTATTGTGCAGGTTAAATAAAATAATGAAAGCAAAGAAGCAGGTGTGTAATAGTCCCCATTATCACTACCACCATCCTACTTACCTGGGATGGCATCTCCTTATCCATCAAGGCTCAGCTTAACCACCATCTCCTCTGGGATGTCTTCTCTGAGTCCCAAATCTGTGCAGGTGTCCCACCTCTCTTTGACTGTGTATTTATCCCTATCACGTGGCTGTATCTGAATCTTCCATTACTTGTGTGCCCACCTGGGGTGCCCAACTAATGAGAAATTGCAGTTATTTAAGACTGAAATAAGTATTTTTTCTTTCAATGTATATGCAATATATTTTCAAAGGACTATCACGTTAGTATGACATAAACACTCATTAAATTGTTTGAATATAATATCATTAACAAAAAAAACTATGTGTTTCTTTGGCCTGGATATGCTGTGAGAAATATTACTGTGAACCAAGAGAGATCAGGAACCAGTGTATAGGAAAATGATCATGCTCTGAACTAGAGAAATGACAGTGATTATTATTATTGTTATAACAAATGCCACAGTTATAATAATGTCATAGCCACTTGCTAATATGTTATTCAGCTCTTCCTATTTTCCAGGCACTGTTCTGAGCATTTGGGCATGCTTAAAGGGATCACATATATTAGCTCCTTTAACCCCCCTTCACATTCCTAAACAAAAAGTATATTTCTCCCACATTACAGAAGAGGACACTGAGGCGAGGCCTGTGGAGGAAGAGTAACTTGCTTAAGGCCCATGAATAGGTTGATGCTGGAGATGGGGTATTAACCCAGGCCTTCTGATTGCAGATGCAGGGGTCTTAACCACCTGCTTGTCGAGGCTGTGGGGATGCAAAGGAGAGAGTTGAGCTTTCTGGATGGCAGAATCCTCAGAATTCACAGATTTTAGGGACGGGAGAGAACAGATGTTTTGAGTTGTCTACCTAACTGACTTGAGAAATGCTCTAACCCCACAGCCTGGTAACGCAGGTGACTCAGGGAGATGTGTGCATAGGTGACCCATGCAAGGCCCAATGAAGCTTTTGCCAAGGAGCTGAGGACTGAATCAATGAGCTTCTGTTGATTTTCAATGTCCACCTCAATCAACCCAAACAGATAGTTATTGTCACAATGTAACAGGAGGCAAAAGTGAAGGAGGTTCATAACCTTTTGCTGATGAGGTCACTGCCCAGTGCTATGCTACTAGAGACCAACTTGTGTAGATTCCCTGGAATCAGCACTCTACCAATAACTTTCTTTTATTTGAGCCAGACTTTCCAGACTTCTGCTCCTTTTAACCAAAGGATGTTTAACTAGGACCTTGGACATAGATGTCATAAAATACACCATTAAAAAGGGAGGAGGGAGGGGAAGACAATACCTCCATCACTAAATATTTAGCTCCTTAAATTGAGTGGCCATGAGAGTCATCCAGATTGTAGACTTCGGCTAGGCCAACTCCTCCTAGAAACCAGGCAGGTCTGTGGAGTTCACAACAGTTTAGAAAGGCGACTTTCTGCACCGCTCGAGAGGTCAACAATCTGCCCGGCAATTACACTGCTGTCAGATTGTAAGCACACATTTGCAAATGGCTCTGTAATTGTTCAGAGACAATTTAGGCCTGTGCATGCAAGGCCTCCGTTACAGACTGTTAATGGGAACCTTACCCAACATCTGCTTTCATGGTTGGAGCCAGATTTGTGCTGTTTCAACACTTATGGGTCTAAAACAGCAGCTCAGATATTTTCCTCTGCCAATTCTCAGAAAGTAAAAGCTCAGCAGCACTGGGCAGTCGCATGGCTGATTGATGGGCTTATGGCATTATTATAACATGATTGTTTTCAGCAATTGCAGTCTTATTAAAAATGGTTTGGCTTTCTAAAAATGTAGTAAGTCAATAAGATGGGCAATTGCCAGCAGACAATCCAGGTTACGCTGCTTTACTCACCTGCTTTTCTGACCTTGTGCAGGATAGTTAATACCATAAACTAAGAAATTCCTGTTAAATGTAAGGCATGATACATGGGGATGCCCGGGTAAAAAGTGGTAGATCTCAAAGCATGCAGTTCAGAACGTTTGTCTTTATGACTTTTGATGTGGGGCATATCAGTGTTTTCCTGCTCTCAGCATGTTTAAATAGACACATCATGTCCCCCAATTGGTAGGCATACCCTTCATTACAGCTCTGGATGATGCCTGCTGAGCCCCACCAACACCCAAGGGTGTCCTGTGCCTGTCACAGAGCCCATGTTACATGTCCCAACTCATCCCAATTCTAACTGCTGGCAAACACCTCAAGTTTGGGTGACTCTCTACCTGGCCATTTTCAAGCGTTATATTTAGAGTTATAGCTCTGCTCAAAGTGATTACAAATTATTGTGGCAGAAAGGCAACAGGATTTATTCTTCTCCCATACAATAGTCCCAATCCCACGTGAATAGTCCAAGGTGGCACGTTGCTTTGCTCCAGTCATTCAGAGATCCAAGCTCTAATGATCTTTTGGTTGTGCCATTCTGCTAGGAATTGTCTTCATCTGTATGGTCAAAGCTGGGGTCCAGATAAATTCATGTTGCAGCTCATGGAAAGGGGAAAAGAGTCCAGAGGCTAGCTTATCTCTTAAATTGGAGATGACCTGCAAAGTCAACTTTCATTCACATCCCATCAGCCTAGACAGTTCTAGAGCCACATTTGCCTGCAAAGTATTCTGGGAAATGCTATTTCTACCTAGGCGCTTTGGTCTCAGGTTCAACTCTATTGCCAGGGAATAAAGGGACAATAGATTTTGATGGCCAGCCAGAAATTGCTGACATATGTAACATCAGACAGAAAGAAATATTACCTCTTATAAATAAGAGAAATGCTACATGGTTATATATTTAATAAATGTTTATTAAGTGCCTACTGTGTGCCAGATACATTTTCTTACCCGTGTAAGAAAAGTGGGGCTAATATATTGTGGGTGAAATTATGCAATACCATAAACACATTTTCCACTTTTGAAAAACTTTTGCTCTTTCAGATAACAGAGGGCAACTGGAAATAAGGCAAGGTTTTTATCTTCATATTGCCTGGAAAATATTCGCACCTGTCAAATTCCACCAGCTGGCATTATTGTTGTTCCGCGGATAAGCACACAGAAAGCTGCTTACATAGTTATTTAGATGCTGGTCTCATAAATCATAATTTGCTTGGTGCTTGTTTATAAAGCCTCATGAAGATTTCTTCCGAGGATGATGCTAGATCGTTGAGATTAAATTCAACCTCAAAGGTGGGTTTTTCCCCCAAAATAATTAGGGCAATGAACACAGCGAATTTTGCTGTTAGTCCTTTGATGTAGTAAGTCACACCATCTTCAGGATTTGTGTACTCAAAGCAATGAATAATAAAATGATGACCAGATTGTGTCAGTTGATTCTGGTGGTAGGCGTGTGGGTGCAGGAAATAGTCCAGAGGCACCACGAACACTTTCTTCACTTCATCGGGATTCGGCTGGGCCTGGAAGTTGTGGTCTATGAACCCTACAACTGGCGTTATAAATGTATTTGTCTAAAAGCAGAAAACAAAATACACAAATTAAGAAGTGAAGAGATACTGTTGCAAATGTGAAAGTCATGCCACTTCAGTGTAAAGAAAACAGGCTGACATGGTCAGCGTGGCTTAGTGATTAAGCATCAACATATGAACCAGGAGGTCATAGTTCGATTCCCTGTCAGGGCTCCATCCCCAATGGTGCAGGGGCATGCAAGAGGCAGCCCATTAATGATTCTTTCTCATCATTGATATCTCTCTCTCTCTCTCCCTTTCTCTCTGAAATCAATAAAAAATATTTAAAAAAAAAAAAAGGAAAAAAAGAAGAAAGGCTTAAGTAATCAGTACATAAGATAGGCAGGGCAGGAGGAACTTGCTACAGTTGTAAACTTTATGTTACCATGAAATGTGGGGAGGCCTTGTCCTTACCCACAGCTTCTGTGAGATAGCTTTGTAAATATTTTGTGAACATAAAAAGGCACAATATTTTGGAATCACAATTTGGCATTATAAACTTGTGGTCCCACTGACTTAGCCATTGCAGTTGTGTAAGTATATTCCTACCAGTGAGAAAAAATACAAATGCATCAGGTCCTCTAATAATCTCGTTCCATTATAACATTGATGAGATGCTGTGGGAACTTGGTTTATGTCAACTAGCCTAGGGTAAATTGGTTTTGTTATGTTGTTCACTTAAAGTTGCAGAATCTGTTGGCAATGTTAAGTAAGGACTTACTGCACTAGACTGAAGCATTATTTGCAATAGCCCAAAACTCTAAAGTGACACCCTTCAACTGACAGACATTTAGGGTAGATCAATTAGGAGTATAGCCATTTCCTATATAATAAAAGTCTAATATACCAAGTGCCTGACCACTGGACTGTTCGACCAGTCACTATGATGCACACTGACCACCAGGGGGCAGACACTCCGACTAGTAGATTAGCTTGTTGCTGGGGTCCAGCTGATGGGGACTGGCCTGGCAGGCCAGACACGCCCTGGAGACTTCCCAGTCTTTCCCCAACCCCAATCGTGCACCGGTGGAGTCCCTCAGCCTGGCCTGTGCTCTCTCACACTCTGAGACCCCTCAGAGGATGTTGGAGAACTGCAGGCCAGACTGAGGGATCACACTGGTGCACAAATTTGTGCACCGGGCCTCTAATAGTGGGATAATATGCCCCTTAAAAAATGCGATAACATCCTATCAGTATAGAAAAAGTCATCTTATCAATAGAAAAATAACATAATATTGTGGCATATTCCCATTTATGAGAAATTATATTCATATATATATATGTAAAATTATATATGAACTACTTTACATAGCTCATATATTTATATGTGGGGGGATTTCTATTACCTTCACAACTGCTTGCAAATAAATGTAGACTGTTGTTAATTGAAAGATTCTACTGGGAATTTTGGCAGGGAGGCCTGGGGTTTAGTGTAGAAGTATGTATAGGAGTCCACAGCACCCAGTTTGGAAACCACTGATGGAGTTCCCCTTTCATTTCTGGATGGGGGAAGGGACTAGATAAGAAAAGGGGCTTGCCCAAGGCTACTTAGCTTATAAGGGCAAAGTCCACACAAGGATCAGTCTCTTCACTCTACAGAGGACACTCTCAGAGGTCAGGTTGGGCCATCCTGAAGCCAGTGGGTGCACTGAGAGCTCACGAGTTCAAGAAACCCAGTTCCATTCCAGCCCTTACATCAAACAGATATGGCACCAGGCGGCAGACAACCTCCACCTGATGAGGACACAGCCCCACTTCCTCCTGGGCCTCCCGGAGGGCCGTGGCCACATCATCCGCATCCGTGGTTTCGCACTTTCCTCCAGGGAAGCAGACTTCTCCAGGCGACCGTCTCAGCTGGGCAGTGAGAAACAGAGCAGCACAGGGTGATTCCAATGTGGGATCCACTCACTCAACAAGCACTTACTGATCCTCTATGCTATGCTATGGACAATTCTTACAATTGTGGAAATACATAAAGAACAGGAGCAGAAAACACGTTGTACTTGAATATTTTTATAAAAATGAACTCTGAAAACTGCTCTCACTTCTGACTTTTCTCTATTTGCCCCTCCCCCCTAATACCATTCACACACAAACAGATTTACATTGATGGGGGGTGGAGGCTTAAAGAAAGGATAAAGAAAAGGGCGATGCTATCAATAGATAACTTTTACTAAGTGCTTACTATGTTGCTTCACAGGGACTTTTTTTCACTGAGTCGTCAGAAGTTTTATATAAGCTGTTTTATAAAAGTTATTTTTTAATTGAGGTGAAATTCATAACATAAAATTAAACTAAATAATTAGTGACATTTAAAATATTCACTGTGTTATACAACTCCTACCTCCATCCAGTTCCAGGACATTCTCATCACCCCAGGGGGAGACTATACCCACCAAGCAGTGAATTCCCACTTGCCTCCCCACCCTGCCCTTACTTTCTGTCCCTATGGATTTACCTTCCTGCATATTCCGTATCCACTTAGTGTCATGTTTCTGAAATTCTTCCACACTGTACCATGTATCAGTACCTTTTTCCTTTTTATGGCTCAATAGTTTCCCATTGTACGTATACAGTATATTGTAATTGGTTTATCTTCCCATTAATGGACATATAGGCTACTATAATATTTCCACTTTTTAAAAAAATACTTTTAAAAATTGATTTCAGAGAGGAAGGGAGAGGGAGAGAGATAGAAACATCAATGAAAAGAATCATTGATTGGCTGTCTCCTGCACACTCTCTACTGGGATCCAGCCTGCATCTGGGGCATATACCTTGATTGGGAATCAAAACATGACCTCCTAGTTCACAGGTTGATGCTCAACCACTGAGCCACGATGGCTGGGAATTATTTCCACTGTTAGATAAGGGAACTAAAGTCCAAAGATGTTAAATAATTTGACCAGTTTCACATAGGGTGAGTAATGGAGCTGGAACATAAACCAGGATTTCATTCTAGAATCATGCCCTTAAGCATCGCACCGTACATTTATTAAGACATTACACAGAACATAAGGTCATGTTCTGACTTCTGCACAGACTAAAGGAATAGGAGCCTCTTTCCCTGCAAAGCCCCTTCCACATATATCCTTGATCCCATGCCTCCCTGCCTTCAGGAGGACCGTTTGTGTCTTCATTTGTAGCCTGAATAATTCCCCCCTTTTAAATTATCCTGAATAATTCCCCCCTTTTAAAAAGCTCTGTCTTTAAAATGATTTCTTTCCTATCTTGGGATGGAGGAACACAACCAGCCCCCCACACAACCCCCCCCGCCCCCCCCGCCCCCCCCCCCCCCCCCCCCCCCCCGCTTCTCTCCTCTGCAGGACTAAACTTCTAAGCAAACATGATCTCAATTTGTTTCAGACTCATTCCCGCCAGTGCCAACCATCCTTTCTCTCCTGAACTGTCCAGGGGGGACCTCAAGGTCAGCAGGGGTTCTGGGTCTGCGTCTTCTCAATAGTGTGCAATGCGGGTAATGTCTGTCCTCAGGGAGTCAGTCACATGAGCAGATGGTTGAAATGCCTGGCACAACGCCTGGCCCATGTTAAATATTTATTAATGAGAAGTCGTAAGGACAATTCTTGACATGCAGAAGCTAAATCAAAAGGTCATGCAGGCATTTTTAGCACTGGGGCCAATATATCCACGTAAGATGCCATTATAAATTTTGTAATGTTCTACAGTTTAAAGCCCCATTTGGGCAAGCTTCTTAAAAATGAAAGAAAATAGTTTAAAGTTCCTCTCTGTTAATAAATCAGTAACAAAAATACATTTAAAAAATCAGTAACAATCAGGAGTTGCTACAATACACAGAAACCTCACCTGCTTTCACATCAGTTGTAGATATAAGTGTAGGTGAAAACCAGGTTGATGGACATGTCTTTACTGCCTTGACCATTCACCACCCAAATGCGTAAGAGAGACCTAATGCTATGTCACCTCTGGAAGCTGACTCCATAGCGTTAGCTCATTCAGCAGCGAGGGGCCACTGACACACTGACAGGGGTACCTTCAGGGACTCATCGGGCTCGACAGAAATACAGGCCTGATTTAATGCCTATTTTAAATACTCGTAAGAAAATGTCATGCTGTTTCAAAGAAATACATTCATAAAACTGATGATTCACAAACTGTCAGGTCAGAAAGGGCCCTATATAAGTACATAAGTTTTTTTTTTTCTTTCTTTTTTTGTAAAAAGCATAGTATTTTTATTAAGTAAGACCCTATGGAATTCTACTCAAATGTCAAATAAGGTTGCAGCCTAATTTCCTTAGACTTTCATCTATTTTTTTTTTCCCCTTGAATTTTCTCTTGCCTGTTTCAAGTCCTAGAGGGCTGGGAAAAGAGGAGAGGAGAAGGGAGGAGAGGGGAGAGACTATGACAGGGGAGAGAGAGAAGGAAGAGGGAAGAGCATGAGGGAGAGCGATATCCTTACCCTCATAACACTAGGCACTGTCTTCAGTCCCATTTTAGGAAGAAAACTGAGGCTCAGAGAGAATTTGGCTCCAGGTTCCAGAGCCAACAGGAGAGCCCACACTTGCACCGGAGGGACTGATGACATGCACCGCCTTCCCCATCTACCGGGATGAAATCCCTGGGCCCAGCTTGCCTGACTCCAGGGAGGAGACAAGCTCAGGTAATGCCTGAGGGAATTTCTTGACCTCAGAGCCAGACAGGCTTAGAGTTCAATTTAATTAGCTTTAAATACTTTTTTTGTAATGTGACCTTTGCATGTCAGAGTTCATGGTCTAAGATGATTCTCACTTAATAGTCAATAGACAAAGTTACTCTGGGTGAAACAGAGATCAGAGACCCATTTTTGGTCTTGTCTAGATTTTCTACAAGATTGTTCAACTGATAATTAAAAAAAACAACAAGTTTCTGCTGTATTTCCTGGCAGAGCTGGGAACAGACCTGGTCCCCTGGTTCCGTGTTAAATATCTCCCCTTGGAAACTTGATTGTCATCATCTGACCCAGACAGGAAAGAATCCACACATGTCTAATACCAAATCCAGGAAACTTCAGCTGATATTTCAGCTTGCTTTTTCAAAATACTTTTGGTTATTCTGCGTAAAAAGACACTTTATTATGGCCCATTTTCTTTTTTGTACTTGGACAATTTGAAATTACTGCTTCCCAACTTTTCCGGGGAAATACCCCTAACAGCAAGGGACAGTGACCGTACCCAGAGTGTGTACCCAGGGAAACTCCATTCCCAGCCCAATATATTTTTTTAAGTTGAACAGTTATCTTAAAAACCTCAAGCTATGTCTGTCTGCTAATGGCACTAATGATGTTGACATCTGAAACTTACCGAATCCTTGCTAAGTGCCAGGCTTGTTTTAGAAGCTTTACATTTGTTACCCTGTGAAATTCTCATGGCAGCCCTATTAGACAGGTGTTAATATTTTGTCCTCCTTTTGCAAGTGAGACTGCAGCACAGAGAGGAGAACTAAGTGAGACAGAATCACACAGCTGACAAGAAGAGCCTGCATTCAAACATGGGCAGCCAACTTCAGGGCCCAGACTGTTAACTTCACTGAACTTTCCAGAACTTTCACATTATACCTGGGGCGGGATTGGTCTAAAACAGTGGCAAACTGTCTCCCTCACCCCCATTCCTTCCAGGACAGAAGACAAACTCTAGAGACATTTGTGGTTATCACAAAGGTGTGTGTGCATGTGTTACTGGCATCTAGTAGGTAGGGGCCAGGGATGGTGCTAAACATACATCCCATAATGCACAGGGCGGCTTCCACAACAAGGAATTATCCAGCCCAAATGCCAATGGCACCAAAGTTAAGAAACCCAAGTCTAAAAGTATTCCAAATTACTTATTCTTCGTTCTAAAGTTTCCCCCCAAAATGCCATGTTTTCAAACATCACAATTCTGTAAGTCCATTTGGGAATCTCTGGCTTCAAAATGTGTGCAAGTGACAACATTTTGTGGGATTTTCACAAGTCCCGAGACTTTAATGGCAGAACCTCTTGTCACCTACCTTCTCTGACCGGAGGGTGAACAACAGATGAAGTTTTCCTTCTTTAGCCAACAATGGTAAAAGGATGGAATATTTATTAGACGACAAGTGAGAATATCTGGTCCCAACGTCATGCTGTTTTAAGCGGGCCTTAGCATCATCTATCAAACTGTTTCTAAAAGGGAAATAAATCAAACATTATAGTACCAGTGTTATAGTAAAAAATCTTGTTCTGCCTATGTTTCTGCTTTGCTGAGTATCTTGAGGTTTACCATTTCTGAGTCTTGGTGTACTTTTCAATAACATGACAGAAATAATAATAAAAATCACATGATTTTCGGCAAGATAAAATGAGGCAAAAACCTACAGTTTCACTTTCCAATGAACAACAATTCACCTTAGCCCAAAAATATTAAGTTAAAAATTCCAGAAATAAACAATTCATAAGTTTTCAATATGTACTGTTCTGAGTAGGGGGATGAAATCTTGCCCGGCCCAACTCCATTCCACCTGGGACATGAGTCATTCCTTTATCCAGGTGTCTATGCTAGCTGCCATTAGTCACTGAGTAGCCTTCGTGGTGATCAGAGGCAGTGCTTGTGTTCAGATAACCCTTATTTTACTTAGCAGTGGCCCCAGAGCACAAGAGTTGCTGGCAATTCTGATATGCCAAAGAGGAGATGTAAAGGGCTTCCCATAAGGGAAAAGGTAAGATATTTTGAGAGAGACCACACTTACATAATTTTTATTACAGTATATTGTTACAATCATTCCACTGTGTTATCATTGTTAACCTCTTACTTTCGTGGTCAGCAAACTGTGGCTCGAGAGCCACATGTGGCTCTTTGGCTCCTTGAGTGTGGCTCTTCCACAAAATACCACGGCCTAGGCAAGTCTATTTTAAAGAAGTGACGTTAGAAGAAGTTTAAGTTTAAAAAACTTGGCTCTCAAAAGAAATTTCAATCATTGTACTGTTGATATTTGGCTCTGTTGACTAATGAGTTTGCCGACCATTGTCTTACTCTGTGTAGGAAAAACCATGATTATATATATATATATATATATATATATATATATATATATATATATATATATATATATATATCTCGTTTGGTCTATCTGCAGTTTCAGGCATCTCCTGGGAATCTTGGAACGTATCCACCACGGGTGAAGGGTGGAACTATGTACTAAGAACACAGTTTAGTGCACAAGTTCATTTGAAAACTAAATTTAAATTATGGTAAAATACTTTTTAACAAAGCAATAGTTAATTATCAAAATCCATTAACTATATTCAGGTAAAACAGGTTTGCTAAATAAGACATTGTAAGGTCAGATCATTGTAAAGTTAAGAACTTTCTCTTAATCTGGCCTTTATATCATGTTATCAAGCATTCCTTTTGTTATCAAATATTCAACAGTGGTTCCCAAACTTTAACAGCAAAGGAATCCCCTGGAGGGTTGTCTGGGCCCACCCCAAACTGTGACTCAGTAAGTGGGGGTGGAGACTGAGACTTAGCATTTATATCAAAGTCCCAAGTGATGGTGATGTTGCAGACCAGGGGAACACACTTTGAGAATATAGAGTATTGGGATTTATAACCACAAATGGTGCCCTGAATCCATGATTATAAATTTGTTTGGGTCCTTTTGAACGGTTTATTTTGTTGCTCGATTGTGTAGAGGCTTAAATAGTGTCCTCCCTAAACCAAAAATCTGATTTTACTTGGAAACAGGATTTCTGTAGATGTATTTAGTTTAGGACTGGTTTTAAGGTGGGCCCTAATTCCAGTGACTGGTGTCCTTATAAAAAGAGGAGAGGATACGGAGAGGCATATATACACTAAATAAGACATTGTAAGGTCAGATCATTGCAAAGTTAAGAAGAAAGAAGGCCAGGTGTAGCAGAGGCAGTGACTGGATGTGATGCTGCCAGAAGCCAGGGAACACCAGAAGCTGCCACAGGCCAGGAAGGGTCCTCCAGAGAACCTGGCAGGGAGGATGGCCCTGCCAGCCCCTGGATTTTGGACTTCTAGTTTTCACAACTGTGAAGAGCATAAACTTCTGTTTTTTAAGCTATCCAGTTTGTGGCACATTGTTCTCGACAACCCAATAAACTAACAGCTTAATTGTAATTTTTCTATGGGAAAGGCAATTTTGCAGAGTGGGCAAAATCAGATGTGAAAGACAGCTAGAACTGGTTTCAAAATGCTTAGGAATGACCTGAGCTCCCCTCCCCTCATCTGTGACATGTTTGAAAGTATTTATGTGGATTTAATGACATATTTCATATATGGTGGCTGGTACTCAGCTAGTGGCCTATGAATGATGACTACTGTCATAAATGTCTCCATCATTAAATGAGCAGTTGTTTGTGGGAGGTGTTTGCTATTTTATGCCTCTCTCTACTGGCAGATGCTCCCTAAAAGTGGTGGGATAACCACAGTGAACTGCAAAATAACGACCAAAGGTTTAAAAGGGATCAGAAGGGAGGCATCCAGAAGAGGAAAGAGGCCTGCCCAGAGTGGCTTTGAAAAGGCCCCAGCAGGTGCTAAGTTTGCAAAAATGTGTCTGTCCAAATTAGGGGCTGATCCTGGGAATAATCACCATAAAAATACTAACAGAAAAGTAGCAGCCACCCGGTTCTGAGCATGGGCTTATTCCACACTCTTGCCTTGCTTTTCTCTTCTCATCTTCACACCAGCCCGGCGAGGTGAGCGCCTAATCTGATTCAGAACCAGAGGGTTATGTAATTGTGACCTGGGCCATGACTGGGAGTAGCCACCGGAGGACTTGAACCCTGGGTTGCCAAGTGCGGGCTGGGATTCCAGAGGTCGGACTCTGGAGGCGCCTGGAGCAGAAGGACGTAAGCGGCTGGGCAGGGGAACGCCTTGCTCTTGGGGGACGCGGGGAACCCATAATGACAGGTGTTCACTCAAGATGCCAGAGCCAGGCTCCGTCTGGGGTCCGAGAAGATGCAGAGTTCCCTGGACCCTGCCGGCGGCCAAGTAAATGAGGGCAGCGAGTGCGGGCTCGGCAAAAGCCACCGCGGGTAAAAAGCCCCTAGGACCCGCGGGCCGCGATCATCTCGGCCCCGCCCACATCAGAGCCGGCTCAGAGTGCCAGGGGCCGGGGAGGCTTTACCTGACGGTCTCCGGAGCACGGGGTCGCGACATTGTTCCGGGAAAGTTTGTTTCCAGTGGGTGACTCCTCAGAGGTGCTGGGGCGGCCGGGCATGCGCAGAGGCAGCTGGCCTAGGGAGAGGATAGGGGCGGGGCCTGTGGCCAGAGCCGGTGACGGGGCGGGGCCTAAGTCCAGAGATGGAGATGGGGCGGGGCGTGGGGGTGGGCGGAGAATCTGGGCGGGGCGACACGTGAGGGCGGGGCTTGCGGGGCTTCATGCAGGGCCTTCCAGGTAACGGGAGCGGTTTCTGCCCTGCTCCTTGCTCTGTTCTTGGAACAAAGGGCATATGAGGAATTCTGAAATTGAGAAATGTAAAAAAAAAAAAAAAGAGAGAGAGAGAGAGAGAAGGAAAATGCAGTGCTGATGAGTTGAGAGGATTCTGACACTCGTATTTATTACTGTTGCTATTAGGTTAAGTTGGTTCCATTTTTCTGAACAGCTGTCATGCATTTACTCAGCACCTACTATGTGCTGGGCACAAATCCCACAGCTGGCAAAGAGGCACGTGGAGCTTACCGTCAAATAGGAGAGAGAGACTGGGAGCAGAAAATTACATAGATAAAGCAGAGGCCGTTAGTCCTTGGAGAACATCTGTGGGAGAAACTTGACCAAATCAGATCAGAGACGGCTTACCAGAGAGAATGGAAACAGGGCAGACAGACCTCCAAGGCAGCTGTCTCCAAGTGCGGTTAGTTCAGGACCGCAGCATCAGCACCACTCGGGTGCTGTTAAATACAGACTCCGGAGTCTCATCCCAGAGCTGCTGAATCAGAAATGGGGGTCAGGACCACTGATCTGTGCGGAGGAGATTCTGTATGTGTGGAAAGTGAACAAGGGAAAGGAAGGGGCAGAGGAGAGAGTTCTAGGAAGAAGGACAAATTTGTGCGAAGACTCCACGGCGTGCGAAGACCCGAGAGGAGGGCTTGGGAAGAGCCAGTGAGAGGGAGCCTGGTTGGAGCTGACCCTTCGGAGGTCAGACTTCAGACACTTAAGGCCAGGCTGACTTCTCTGTCCTCTACAGCAGGTGCAATGCCTGAACCCCACAATAATGTTTTCATTTTAATTTCTTTTAAAATCAGAAGAAAATGCATATAATAATAAGCAGCATAAAATGATAAATCCAGCCTGATTACATTCATCTTTATGTGATGATGATGAATGTAATCAGGCTGGATTTATCATTTTATGCTGCTCATACATAGGATTTAAATACAATCATAACATTGAATTTATTATTATTATTATTATTATTATTATTATTATTTTATGGAGGAAGGGGTTCATAAAACCAAAATTGCCTAGGGACTGTGAAATTCACAGTGTGACTCTGGGTGGTGGGACAGTTGGGTTACAGTTCCCAATATCTCTAAAACCACTGAGCTTAGATGTTCCCCTAGCGAGTCTGCCAAGGCTGTGAGCCCAAACCAAAAGCTTGATGACAGCCTAATAATAACAATGATGGCACCTCACTCACATTTGTGTACTTCATCCCCTGAGGAACCCTATGAAGTAGTGTTATTTCTATAGTGGTATTAACAACCTCACTTTCCAAATTAGGAAATTTAAAGAAATGTCTTAAGTTCACACAGCGGAGGTTCAAGGTTAGATCATTCTGACCTCTGAGTTCATTTGTTTCAACATCACCTCTCAGAAGCAACTGACGTCTGAATTATATGGCTCTGATTATGAATGAGGAGATAAATTAACCCTTCCTCTAATATCTATTGCATGCTTACTATGTGCTAGGCATGTCTAAAATGTGATGCCTTGACCGTTAAGACCTCTTAATCTATTGGGGGTTATAATAAACATGACAATCTAGTAACGCACAGTGCATTCTCAGCTCTGTAGGAGAAGGGGAGGGGCAGTGATTCAGAGGATTGAATTGGGGACTAAAAGTTATTTCTGGGGATTTTATTTTCTTGTCTTTTAGACATCCTTTGATTGAATCCTCGGTTTGAAGAATAGCAAACTGAGGCTCAGTGTAGCCGAGTGCCTTGCCCAGGGCCACACAGCAGGTGAATTGTGGAGCCAGGTGCTGATCCCATCCACTGAGCTGCAGTTGGCACGCAGGTAGATTTGAGGAACAGATGGGGTTTCAAGAGGCCAAAGTGAGGGAGATGGCTTTCTGGGCAGAGGGAACTCAAGCCAAGCATGAGTGAAGAGTCTGGAAACAGGTGAAAGGCTTCGGAAGCCTCGGCAAGATGAAGATTGACCTTCTGCCTAAAGAGGGAATAACAAGTCTGGGTTTTCAGGAAGATCTCTATGGAATCGGGGTGGGTGGATTGGAAGTAGGGAGAGACTGGAGCTGAACAGGGGGCTCTCCCAAAAGACTGGGCTTCAGGAACCAGAAAAAGATGCTTCATACCTTCTGAAAAATCCCCATATTCCTGATGTCAGAAATTCCCCATCTTTCTGATGTCAGAGTGTAGCAGGGGATGGTCTTAATGTAAAAGCAGGAAAGAGATACCTTGCTGTACCAAGCCTATATGCACAGCATTTTCTTTCAAGATGAGAGAGACTGATGTAAAAATAAGTAGGTTTTATGGGGTTTGTAAGGCTGGGAGCCATAGCACATGGACCTATTCAAGGTGAGATGCATCATAATAAGATTATATATACATGGTGTATATACACATACATGTATATGTGTGCATGTATCTTCAAACCTGCAAAGCAACACAGGCTTCACAGTTAATGGGCAATGTCTTTAGGGAAAAGTACTCATCTCTGCAGCTTTTGTACACAGTTTTGTTGGTAGTGACATAATTCTAGAAAATGGGTTGAAGAGAAGCACAGCTATAAACATGAAAAGCCAACACCTCGATGTACAGGTCTCCCAAAGAAGCAGTTCCTAGACCTTGCCTGCAGCCCACCGTCTGGAACCTTTATTTAGGCAGCATCTTACAGCCAAGCCTGGGTGCTACAGAGATAAAGCAACTCCAACCTGCCTTAGAGCAAAGGATGTCTGAAAAAAACAGACCTATAGCAAACCTTTTGCTTGAATGCCAGATGAATGCGCTAATCCAGGAAAGGGAGTAAGTGGTCTGGGGAGTAAGGTGCAGCAGGCCAGCTATTAATTCTGCCTGGGAATACATGGAGAGGTAAGAGAATAGGAATACTTAGCCCTTGGCATTTTCTAATGCTCAAGAAATGTGAGTTTCCCCCATTTCCTCTTTAATTTACAGGAGGGTCTCTTGGAGGGCAGGTTCAGGGAAGGGCTTTCATATTAAGTATCGCATCCATCGGAGTATAACTGTTATAGTTGCTGGGTTGGGCATTCATCCTCCATCTACTCCCTGCCCCCCACCTCCTGCCAAATCAGAGAGCACTGAGCGGTATAGCCTTCCCACTTTTTGAGGAGGGGAAGTTGAGGGAGATTTTTGAGGACTGGAATTAAACAGGAATTTCTTCAAGAATAGGTCAGGGTCCTCCGCATCAAAATCGTCACAGACAACTCAGTGCCCCCAATGTGACCCGATGGGTACTTATCTCAGGGTGGAGATTCACCCAGGAATATGCGTTTCTGAGCAAGCTCCTAGATGGTTCTGTTGTAAAAGTTAAAGACACTGATTTAAATGCTCCAAGAGAGACATTTGATGTTGAGGACATAAGCCACCTCCTTACCCCAGAGGGGAGGGCAGATGGTGGCCACCAGCACCAGCAAGCACCATTCCTGGTAGCATTGGAGGAATCTTTCTTTCTGGTTTTTGGAGTTGGCAATGTGGGCAGGACTGTCTCAGGAAAGGATTATTTTGTAAAAAAAAAAAAAATAATAATAATAATAATAATAATAATAAAAATGGGCCGAGACCGGTTTGGCTCAATGGATAGAGCGTCGGCTTGGGGACTGAAGGGTCCCGGGTTCGATTCCGGTCAAGGGCATGTACCTTGCTTGCGGGCATATCCCCAGTAGGGGGTGTGCAAGAGGCAGCTGATCGATGATTCTCTCTCATCGATGTTTCTAACTATCTCTCTCCCTTCCTCTCTGTACAAAATCAATAAAATATATTTTTTTAAAAATGGGCTGGAGCAGATAGATCCTTACATAATGTGGTCTTTGATTTCTTTCATATATATATATATATTATTGATTTTTTACAGAGAGAAAAGAGAGCTAGAAACGTCGATGAGAGAGAAACATCGACCAGCTGCCTCTTGCACACCCCCTACCGGGGATGTGTCTGCAATCAACATACATGCCCTTGACCAGAATCGAACCTGGGACCTTTCAGTCCGCAGACTGACGCTCTACCACTGAGCCAAACCGGCTTTGGCTGATTTCTTTTTTTTTTAAAGATCCATTTGAAAAAGGAAAGAACTTAAGAATTTGGGTCAATATGTCCTTCCATTGATGACTGTTGTTGGCTAGGCATGGAGTTGGATGCTGGAGATATTGAGATACATGACAGTTAATTCTTGCATTCGAGAGCTTTGGTACCACATGTGGCAGTGAGTGACTTTAGTCTGCACGAGGGTCTCCTGGGGCTGATTACACATGTAGGTTGTTGGACGGCAGCCTCTGGGATGTTGACACAGGTGGGGCCCATGCACCTGCATTTGCAACCAGACCCTTGGGTGATTCTAATATGTCTACACTTTGAAAGGGGAGAAATGGAATTGGGATCTGAAAAAATAGAAGAGTGGAAATCAGCCTGGGAACTAAAGGTGAGACACAGATTAGAGGGAAAATGCTTCTATAATAGAACTGTCCTACATTACAAACATGTAAATTGCTGGGAATTTACATCTGGGCACTGCAAATGTGATTTTTTTCCCCCTAAGTAATCCATGCTGTTTTTCACCCATATTTAATTTTTATTGTGTAACAGTAAAACAGATATATGCTTGCATATTAAAGGGTCTTAAATCTCTGAGCTTCCCTGAGCCAGGCCTGCCAAACACTGACAAAAAATGATGGGAGAGCATCATTCACATATTTTATACTGTTGTCGGTTCTCATTTCCGTGCACCTTTGGAAATGAGCTAAAGA